ATCTTTAAAAAATAAATAAATAAATAAAATAAAAGATTCTATTTTTAAGTTATCTCTACACCCAATGTGGGGCTCAAACTTAACAACACCAAGATCAAGACTTGCACGTTCCACCAACTGAGCCAGCCAGGCATCCCAAAATCTACCAATTTTTTTTTTAACTTGCTTTTTTTTTTCTTAAGTAGGCTCCACGCCCAGCATGGAGCCCACCGTAGGACTTGAACTCACGACCCTGAGATCAAGACCTGAGCTGAAATCAAGAGTTGGAAGCTTAACTGACTGAGCCACCCAGGTGCCCCCCAAATCTCCCAATTTTTACTTACATTTTCTTATTGCTTCTGGAGTATAGGAACAGCATTTTTTTAATTCATAGAACCTAGTAAATTTTTATATATTGATCTTGCTATTTCAGCATTCTTGCCATTATTTTACCCTTTCTGATCCTTACACTGTTTCTTTTTCTCGCCTTATTGCTTTGGCTAGGCCTCCAACATAATATGGGAATCATGATAGCAGGCATCCTTTTTTTGTTCCTGACAAAGAGGGAATATATCTCACTTTTCACCATTGCAGTAGGTTTTTAATTTTATTATTTTTAAATGTTGGCTTTTCCTTTTTTTTTCATTGTGAAAGCTAAACGAAGTTTGTCTATAGGCTGCATGCAACCCATGGGCTGCCAATTTGTGATCTCTGCTTTACCTGAATTCTCTGAATTGTGATAACCTTATTGGATAGGTACTATTATTCCCCCTAATTCGACATATGAAGACACTGAAGTTCAGAGAGGTGAAGTGACTTGCCATAGCCACATACCTGGGAAGGGACAGAGCCAGGATTCAAAACTAGCTCTCCTCGATGCCAAAATCTGTGGGACCCTGGAGGCTCAGGACAGCCCCTCTTTACACTTCATCATCTCCAGCATCTTGCGGAGGGGGGCCTATAGGGGACTCTGGGTTCCTGGAGCAGCTCTGTCAACAACTTTGAGTGACCCTTGACCAAGGGCCTTCCCCTTTCTGAGCCTGTCTTCCCATCTGTCAACCTAGGAGGGATGTAGTTATGGGAACCCCAATATGGTCCCAGCTTCCTTCCCTGCAGTCCAACTATGTATCTATCAAATTTAGGCCTTGACGTGTCCATTGTTTTGTGGCCTGGCTCCACCACTTACTGTTGTGTGATTTGGGGCCGCTTAACCTCGCTGTGCCTTTTGCCTCATCTCAGCTGTAAGATGGAATTAAAAGTAGCACCTACCTCAAAGTGCTTAGGACATGCACTTACGCCTAGTAAACATGAGTCCTCATGATTATTGATAAATGTACACGCATGTGTACACAGGCAGGAAGAGACAGAAATATAACTTAAGTAGTTTTATTAGGATGGAGACGTTTTTAACATTTTCTTTAATGTCACAATTTTTAAAAATGTTTAATGACTCCTCCATTTTGTAGAGAATAAAGTCCAAATTCCTTAACCCAACATCCAAGGATATCTCTGATTCAACATCAACTTATATTTCAATACAGCAAAGTGGCTAACAGCACACAGACGCAGGCCACCCCAGCCTGAATCCCAGCTCTGTGACTTACTAGCTGTGTGAGCTTTGGGCAAGGAGCTCTGCCTCTCTGCGCCTCTGTTTCCTCATCTGTAAAATAAGGAAATTAACAATTCTCACCTGATGGGGCTGAGGCGCTATGTGCAGTGTCCATCATGTGGAAGCTTGAAACATATTAGCGATTATTATGATCTAACCACTACCCCCAGATCTCTGGTCATCCTGGATCATTCACCAGCCCCAGAACTGTCGTAACTTGAAGGCTTTGCTCATGTTTTGCTCTCCCTGACATGCCTTTCCCTATTTATCCACCCATCAAAACATTCTGTGTCAAGGACCAGCTCAAATGTGACCTCCCGTGAAGAGACTTTCTGTCCTCACCACTCCCTCCTCTGGCCTTGAAGGCTAGGTGCACTTAACAGCTCTCACCGCCTCAGCTGTGTACCACTTTCTCATTGGTCCTTCCTCCTGCATCATACCCTTCCTGAGGGGAAGTTGGGCTTGCTTTGAGCTCCAGCCCAGAGCCCCAGCACAGATATCTGAGGGACGTGCCAGCCTTCAAGGGAACATATCAAACTGAGTCCAACAGATCTGCTGCATCCTGCCCTGTCCCTTCTCGAGCCTCAGTTTCGTCTCCTATCACTGAGACAGTGTGGCTGTGAATAGAAATGAGGAAACACTGGCCAAGGCCCCTTTTCTCTTCCCTGCCTCCTAATAAGCCTGGTTTGCTTCTCCTCTGGACTAGCTGGGGAGTGGGGACAGAGTGCTGGCGGTGGGGGCAACTACGGATTCTAGAGACCTGCTTGAGATGGACCTCTGGCTCTGATCAGAGTTTCTGATGCCAAAGGGTTTGGGGCAAGGCCCGGGATCCTGCATTTTCAAAAGTGAGTATAAACCCTTTCCATGGCCATGTTCTGAAATATGGGAGCACCAAACCTCTCATGGCTAATGGAGCAGCACAGCTGTGTGCAAGGGGCCATGGGACCTCTCAGTCCCCCAACACTTTGGAGGGAGTGCTGCCACCTACGGGCAAAGAAGGAAACTGCCAAGGCTCCGGCCTGAGCCACTGGACACACATTTCCATAAAAACATTTATTCAGTACTTTCCAAGTGCCAAGCACTATGCCAAGTCCTTTGCACATTTCGCCATACTGGATCCCCATGACAGCCCTATGAGGTCGAAATGTCATATGTCCCATTGTACAGATGAGAAACGTACAGATGAGGGCTCAGAGAAGTAAAGTGACATACCCAAGGTCACACAGCAAGTGAGTAGCAGTGCTTAGATTTGAAGCCAAATCTGACTGACAGCTGCACTCTAGCCGTGACACTTGAGTGCCGCCTAAATGCCTACATCACAGAGTCATCTGTGGAAACCACGGGGAACTGTATAGGAAAAGGTCCAGCAGATAAGGGCTCTACCCATTTCAGGCCTCCAGAAAAGCAGCTTGACCAGAGGTCACACCAAGACAGCCCGGAGGAGGGGTGGGCAGGACCACCCTGTCTTCTCTCTTAGGTGGGCTGACACCAGCCTGGACCAGCCAGACCCTGGGCTGCTGGCCTGGCCAGCTCTCTTCTCTCCAGTGCCCCTACCTGGAAGCTGTAGGCAGCCCTGCCTCACATTCCAGAATGCGGCAGGGCTAGCCAGCAGAATAGGAGCCACAGCAGGCTGGCCACAGCCAGGGTTCATAGGACACTCCAGAAGGATTTTGGCCAATGGCTCACTTCCATTGGGAAGGACCTCTCGTCGGCCCCTGAGGCCTGGACCCACAGGTGAGCATCAGGCCAGGCTCTGGGAGCAAACACCGCGGGTCCATCACTCTGAGGCCTGGATGTAGACGGGCACAGCGAGCATGGCACATGGGCCCTCGGCCCCTGCCTGCAGTTCTGCCAGTGCAAGGTTGGAGCCCAGGCTCTCCGCATGCCCGGGCACTACCAGCTCCGGTTCGCCCCCCACCGTGCCCCCCACCACGATGGACAGCACTGCATCTGGCTCCGAGAAGGGCGGCTTGCCTGGGGCAGCCTCGGGCACCGGCCCAGCCCCGGTGTCCTTCAGCTCCTCCAGCCCCAGCGGGTCGGGCAGGGGGGTCACCACCTTGCGCCCGCCACCACTGCCACTGCGGGGTGCTGCCCTCCTCCGGGAGGGCCGCCGGGCTTGCAGGTCCTTATCCTTTTGGGGGCCAAGGCGGCAGCGGTGATCCTTGAGGTATTTGTGTCGGGAAAAGCCCTTGGCACAGCCGGCACAGCGGAACTTGTAGTTACCTGTGTGGGCACGCTGGTGCTCCGCGAGGTGGGCACGGCGGCTGAAGGACTTGCTGCACAGCGCGCACTTGTGGAGCTTCATGCCTGGAGCGAGGGGAAGTCCGTGAGAGGCACCCCGACCCCTTACTCTGCAACCGTGCCTCTGCGCTCAGGATCAAACCCAGTCTCTCGGCTTGGCCTCTGACCATGTGTGCAATCTGGGCTCTGCTCCTGCCAGTCTCATCTCCCACCTTTGCCCAGCCACTCACACCCAGCCAGCCACACCTGCTCCCCTCAGGCCACCGAGCTGGCTCCTGCCCCTGGGCCTTTGCACTTGCTGTTTCCCCTCTGCCTAGACTAGCATGCTCAGCCCCGAAACCTTGGCTAACTTAGCCAGGTCACCATCATCTCTCTCCTCTCTGGTCTGTCTGCCTCACCCTTGCCCCCTCAGACCATCCCTAAAGGGCAGCCAGAGATGGCTTCATGAAATACACAGGAGGATCCTGACATTCTCTGCTCTGAACCCTCCAGCGATTCCCCAAGTTTCCTGCAAAGCCCTGTGCAGTCTGACCACCCCCTTCACTTCTCAGCCCCATTCCCTCCTTCCCCTCACTTGCTCTATGAGCTCCAGCCTCCCACTCACCTTTGTCTTAAACACACCCCAGTCTCTTCCCTGCCTCAAGGCTTTGCACTTGCTCCCTCCTTCTGGAAGCTATTTCCTGGCTCTTCTTATCCCTCAGGACAGGTCTCATGTTACCTCCTCTAGGAGGCCCCCCTTGATACCTGCCTCATATTTTTCTCTGTCCCATCACTCTGTTTATTCCTGTCTTTGTACTCTGCATACCTCGCAGTAATATACTTACTTGTTTGCTGTTCATTTTCAGTCTCTGCCACTAAATGCTAAGCTTCCCCAGGAAGGCAGGATGGGCTCTGCCCATCTGATTCCCCCATGTCACCCCCAGAGTCTGACATGTGATAGGTTCTCAATAGTCACTCACTGGTGCCTCCGTGTCTACCATGAAGTCAACTCCAGCCCATACTCAGCCTGAGCCATGCTCCCCTCACCCTCCCTGGGATGAAGGCTCAGAGAGGGGCAGTGACTTGCACGAGGCAACGCAGCAGGACAGTGGTAGTGCTAAGAATCAAACTCAGGCCCTCTGTCTTCAAGTCCTCAACTCTCTACTCTCCCAGTTTTCAAACTTCCTTTAGCCACTGAATCCTTTCTGTAAACCCGTGGTTTTTAACCAGGGGCAATTTCACCCTCCAGGAGACTTTTGGCTTGTCCTCTGGAGACATCGGTGGTTGTGTCCTAACTGTGGGGAAGATGCCACTGACATCTAGAGGGTAGAGGCCAGAGATATTGTAAAACATCCTACAATGCACAGGGCGGCCCCCATGACAAAGCATCAGCTACTGCAAAATATCAAGAGTTCCAAGAAACTGGGTTCTAGACCAAATGGTATGTGGAAAGCCAGCCAAGCTGCTCTGGGGACAGAGAAGCGCCATAGAGCCCCTGGGAAACTGAGGAGTGGAGTGGAGACCCTTGCTCCATGCACCAGCTGCCCTGCTCTGCTGAGGGTACCAAGGGACCTTCCTGGCCGTGTCCTGGACCCAGCTGGAATCTGATTTCCCTCCATGCCTGATCCACATCTTTATCACACTGGGCACCTCTCTGATTTACAGCTATCTCCTCTCAGGTCGGCTTCCCCCTCAGCCTGAGGGACTGTATCTGACTCACCTCTGTAGGACCGTGAGGACCCTAATGCAGACCTGGCTCATGGCTCACATGAGCAAAAGTCTGTTGGCTGGAATATACCAGGCAGTGATAACAAGCCTCATGGGATGTGTCTGCTCTTTCTAGGCGGCCTGGCCCAGGGATTCAGACCCTCCTGGTAGGTCCAGCAGTCACTTACCAGAGTGGGAGAGGATATGAGCCTTCAGCTTGTCTGGCCGGTTGAATTCTTTACTGCAGCCCGTGTGTGTCCTAGAACCCAAAACCACTGGTAAGGGGGAGCTCACCAGACTTGGACTCTCTTGCTGGTCTCTGTGTTAGTCCTGGGCATGAGGGACTCCCTGTCTATCCCAAAGGCCAGGCAAGGAAGCAGGGTGGGGAGTGAGGCAGGCAGGCAAGGCCCACAACAGGATAAAAGGAGAGAGGGCCTTCAGAACCTCAGCCCGGACAATTTTCTGTCCCACCGCTGGGTAAATCTGCCCCTCCCACTCATGCCAGTCTCTACTCACGAGAAGGGGCATTTATATTTCTTGAATGGCTCATGGATCAACATATGTCTCTTCAGTTTGTCTTTGCGGTTGAATGCAGACTCGCACACGGAGCATTTGTAGGGCTTCTCACCTGTAGGAGGAGACACAGATGGGGGGCAGGGACCGAGAGTCCCATGAGATGGAGTCTGAATATGGGGTACACTAGAGGATAGCAGCCCCTCTAGGGAAGTGGCCTGGGAGAAAACAGCCTCTCCCATTCCTCAATTTATTTTTCCAAGAAGAGGGGGCTATTTCAGATAGGACAGTCAGGAAAGGCCTTTCTGATGAGGCAAGAGGGGAGACCTGAGGTGGTTGGGGAAAGAGCCATGATGGAAAGTGGAGTGAGGTACCAGGAAAAAGGAAAAGTGGGGAGTGTGTGGTATGTCTGAAGAGCAGTGGGGAGGCCAGTGTGGCTGGAACAGAGTGGGGACGGGAGAATGAGGCAGAAGGGGAGGTCAGCGAGACAGCCGGGCCCAACAGGAAGGGCCTGGAAGGCCTAGGTTTTTACTCGGAGCAAGATGAGAAGCCACCAGAGGTGCTGAGTGGAGCAGGGAGAGATCTGACTTAAGAGTTTCACGGGCGCCTGGGTGGCTCAGTC